TTTTTATTTGTAGGCATATGTGTATTATTTTTCTGTTAACTTACTCTTCTTTTTACTTTTAATTAAGGATATAATCATTCATAATCTTTTTTTTTCCTCCAAACTTTTATTATGAGAGAATTATAAATCTGTTTACTGCATCTTTTTATTAAGAATGTAATTATCCCATACTTTTTTATTTTATTTTAAGAAAGTTTTTATTTAAGGCCCATTCACATCAAGGACGATAAAGTTATAGTTATAGTTCTAAAAAAAAAGTTCTAAATATAAAAGAATATCATTACAACTTTATAATGATAATGACACAGAGAAACTAAATTGTTGGAATCACTTTCAGAATGATTTTTTTCCTGCTAATGAATGATAAAAACTCTGACAGCCAATCAGAATCCATCCTGCTTTGAAGATCTCGAGCATTTAAAGCTGCAGGCGACAAAACTGCAACTCGCATGTAGAATAAACAGAACGATATCGTCTGCTGGTGTGGACGCTAATATAGTTATCGTTATAGTTATCGGTGTGAACGGGCCTTTACTCCTCTCTTTGCTACAATAGCAGATAATACAGATAATGTGGAGCTACTTAATGCATTATAACTGGTTGAATTTATGTTGTTGTGAATAGAAAACAGTTTAGAATAGAATAGTTTTAAAATACACAGCATGCATAGCGTTTGTGTCTCATATCTTTTGGGCTTAAATCACATCTTTGTCAAGACTGAAGACAAATTATGATCCTAGTGTGGCTTTCCCTCTTTCAGAACAGAGTTTGCCAGAAGTTACGGGACTGAGGCTTGCCATTCATAAACTCACTGACCTTAATCTTTACCGTTCCAATTCCTTCATTCAGTTTTGCATTTACATCCCCTATAATGTTTTTTGGGAAGTGAATGCAAGCCTGTTTCAAAAGCAGAATTGAGCTTGTGTGGTAGAATGAGTCTCTGGTCATATGGTGAAGACATCTGTTTCATTATGATACTCCCATTGAGATCCTGCTGTCTGTTCCTAGGTCAGGTAATGGAGCAGAAAAGTTTCCCATAGGAAAGACAAGTGACGAATAATTTATATCTACTCTACACTCTTAAAGATTTTTTTTTTTTAAGACAAACCATGTGCAAATTCATGCAACACAATGGCTGAGTATTTTCTCCTTAAAACTGCAGTGAACCAAATATGGTCTCAAAAACACCGTTTTAAACCGCCTCAGTTTCCTACCGTCACAAACATGTGACCAATCCTGTCAACGTGTGTGGCGGAGAACACCTGAAGAAGGGACAGGAAAATATAGCAATATAGCGAGTCAATTATGTATATGATTAGGGCCGGGTATTGACACAAATTTCACAATTAGATTCAATTTCGATTCACAAGCTTGCAATTCGATTCGATTAAATAGGCCTATTGATTATTTTGGATGTCAGGTACAATACATGGCAAATTTTCTCAAGGAAAACAAATCTCTTAAAGGTGACCTATAATTCAAAATTGAATTTACCTTGGTATAGTCAAATAACAAGAGTTCAGTGCATGGACATGACATAGAGTGAATCTCAAACTGGACTGTTTTCGCGTTCTCATTTAATTCACGTTTATGAAAACCCCCCCTGAAAAACGGTCGGTTCTCCACACAATACCGACTGTGACGCAATAGTCGGGATCATTAATATGTACGCCTCCAAATATTTGCATAATGCCAGCCCTCAATGCCAGGCGGAACTGCGCAGCCGAAGCATGGCAGTTGCTCAGTGTGGATGTACACATGAACACAAAAGTATTTTTTAGTTCCTTCATCTGAGCCTCTGGAGAAACAATTGGTTAATTTTTTTTTCTCTGGAAATTTTCAAACATTTCACCGAGTGTTTCCTCAACTTGGGCCAATACAGAGCTGGCCTCGGATCGAGCTACCAAGCAACACTTTCGGATGTGTAATTGTTCAAGTTCAGACAGGTAATCTTTCTCTCAAAATCGTTCAATACTGTTTATGCATCAGTAAGTCAAGCCAGTGACTAAAATATCAGCTTCACGTCGTTTCTTTTAGTAGGATGAAAATAATCGTATTTAAATTGTGAACAAATTATATACAGAAAGCGATCAAAGAACAATCTTTCCACACAGCGCGAGTTTATCTGGACACTTGCCAAACTCGTTATGAAATCAATGACGCACGTTAGGCTACTGCACAACGAAGCTCTTACTGTATTTACATCATCGTGTTTGCATTGGTGAAAGCAGAGAGAGTGGAGAAACTGCTTTGCAATGATAAGATCTTCATTCTCGCGATCAACACACTGTGATCTGCTCAATGCTCATCACGGCAACATTTTATGTGATGGGAATAGATTTAAATACTTTAAAAACATCTCACGATTCGTTAATCTTGATAGCTGTTATAGTAAAAACGTATAATAGCAGTAGTAAAAGTATTCGGGAGAGAGTTTCACATGTAATGCGTTGCTATTTCATATGCAAGCATGTCAGCCAATCACAGCAGTGGCCGCGGTTACACTGAATCCCACAGAGACACGCCCCTTCAAACAGAGTGTTCAAATCAGAGGCTAAAAGCAGGCTAGGAAAAATGCCATTTATTTCTAAATTATGATTATTTTTTATCTAAAAAACATACTAACAATATAAGGGTAACCCAGGAAACATTATAAAATAATAAAAAAAAACATTCTAGGGCACCTTTAACTAATGCTGTAAACTATGGGAGTCAGTTGTAGCCTATAGGCTTCATTAGCCTACTATAATATTGAAGGTAAAATTTAACTGATTTGTAGCTATACAAACACTTAAATTACACTTATTTATTTTTATAATAATAAAGTTATATGAAATATAAACATTTAAATGGTGGCTGTCATAAAAAACTTGCCAGATTTATTCAAAAATGCATTAAATATCGAAGAACATTAAAAATTATAATGAATATGTAATATGGTGCATATATTTAGCAAAATGTTCCTCTTTAGAGTTAATTTTTCTTGCTGACTAACGAGTTTATGGTCGCATATGGTTTTTCTAAGGTAAATGTGACGTTACATGACATTGTTTACAATTTGTTTTACTGACGTCTTTCCACGGTTGAAACACTGATTGAGCGATTCCATGTGACATGATACGGATTTCGATAAGTTGTACTCTATCTTTTAACACACTTTCAGACGTTCATTCATGTTTATTTCGCGCTGTAACTGGTGTTATTAAGGCAGAAGAGGAGATCATGTGCGCTCCGCGCTGCTGCTTCTCTTGAGCTGAGCTGAGCCAGAGCGATCTCACGCCACAGCGCCAAAACGGTATTTATGTTTTTGAATTTCGTAAGAAAATTGACGTAATTTAAAATTTGAGACTTTATTTAGTATCAATAGTAACAAAGCACAAAGATTATTGCGATTTTTTGGATGGGATGAGCGCTACAATGTTCCATTCATTCATCAAATGAAAACAGGATGACTAATCGATTCTTGAGATTTAAGACTCCTCGATATCGGTTCGTAAAAATGAGAATCGATTAATATCAAGAAATCGATATTTGATGTGATATATGATGTTATGATGAACTATATGCCTTTCTCCAGTGTATTGGATAAGTAGGCCTACTGTATAATGGATAAGTACTATAATGTCCAAAGCATTTCTAATGATGCTGATTTTTAGAAGACAGCTTTCTGACTCTAAGATGGCGAACGGGAACATGGTGTGTGTAACATTATACATTATTAGCTGTTTACTAATTTGCATACTCATGAATCTGCATATACTAAATGAAGCAATGGCGTAAAAAACATGTAAATATATAATTTTTATGATCTAAGATGAGTTTTAAGGGTTACAATTATTGACTGCAGGGGGACTTTAAAAGGGGTTTTCGCAGTGATGCCACAGAAGAACATTTTTTGGTTCCCCGAAGATCCTTTCAGTGAAAAGTTCTTAAAATAACCTTTTTTTTTTCTTAGTGTGAAGAACATTCTACAGATCTAAAGAACTGTTTTCCACTATAAAGAACCTTTTGTGCAAATTGAAAGGTTTTATGGATCTGAAAGTTTCTTCATGGAACCATCGATGCCAATAAAGGACCTTTATTTTACTCTCTCTAGACAATACTGAGATGAAAATGAGATCAAATGCTTCCTCTTGAGAAAAAGACCTCTGTAATCTCACAGGAAAGCTTCGTAAAGAGATCTCAAAATAAACTAAACATTTCAAATCTAATGTTGGGTGACCAACAGTCCTGTTTTCACGTCCTGTCCTGGCCGTCCTGTTATTTATAAAGTGATGTAAATGTCCTGGTTTTCAAAAAACAGCTGGGAAAGATCAGCTCTACAGCAAAATATAGATGGGCAAACAAGGAGGATGAGGAAGAAAAACAGGATAAAGAGGAAGAAAACTAAAGAGATCAATATATTTTGTTAGTTCGTTTTTGTAAGTTTGTGACAGGTATTTCTTTTAGTTATTTATTATTTATATATTTATTTTTCTAATACAGAAGAGACATTATTTCTATCATTATTTCATTCATTATTTTTGAAACCTGTCATAATAAAACATGTTGAGTAACCTCTGAGAAGCCTATCTGAATTTGTGTCTTGTAATATAACAATTTTCTATCCATACAGAGGAGGCATAGCCTACTTTAAATGTATTGAAATTAATAAGGCATCTTTGAGTAAACTTCGAGTATCATTTGAGTGTCTGTTTGCCCGGCCGAGTGTCCTGGTCTTTGGTAATCAAAATATGGTCACCCTAATGTTACTATATTTCAACTATTGACTCATTTGTGTCTATTTTCTAAAATAATTTTAGGGGAAACACCTGACACAAAGTTTATGCTAAAAGTGAATAATGTCTGAGAACTCCATGAAGTCTTCTGAGCCCTGAAAGAGCAAACTGAGCAATAACATGTGCCCAGGGTGCGGTACTGTGGTCTTTACTTCTCTCTTGCATCATTCATCCTTTCTGTGTTTCTTCTAAACATCTTTATCTGTGTGTGTGTGTGTGCAGTTGGGACGAGAGCAGCTCCATCAGCAGTGGTTTGAGCGATGGTTCTGATAACCTGAGCTCAGAGGATCTCAATGCTAGCTCTTCTCTCAACTCTCTCCCCACCACACCTGTCGGCTCGCGACGCAACTCCTCCGTCATGGTAAGCTCTTCTCAAGGTTCTTCAGCGTTGCTTATTTGGCTTCAGTATAACTTGCATGTCAACAAGCAGGTTTGAGACACAGACAATGTTGCACTAAAAACACCACTGATTAAAGGGTTAGTTCACCCAAAAATGAAAATTCTGTCATTAATGACTCTCCCTCATGTCGTTCCAAGCCCGTAAGACCTCCGTTCATCTTCGGAACACAGTTTAAGATATTTTAGATTTAGTCCGAGAGCTTTCTGTCCCTCCATTGTAAATGTATGTACGGTATACTGTCCTTGTCCAGAAAGGAAATAAAGACATCATCGAAGTAGTCCATGTGACATCAGTGGGTTAGTTAGAATGTTTTGAAGCATCGAAATTACATTTTGGTCCAAAAATAACAAAAACTAGGCCTTTATTCAGCATTGTATTGTCTTCCGGTTCTGTTGTGGATCCGCGTTCAGTGCCGCTGCTGACGTAAGACGCTGCTGACGTGTGTCTGGTGTGTGTGTGTGTGTGTGTGTGTGTGTGTGTATTCTGGTTCTGTTGTGGATCCGCGTTCAGTGCCGCCGCTGACGTAAGACGCTGCTGACGTGTGTCTGGTGTGTGTGTGTGTGTGTGTGTGTGTATTCTGGTTCTGTTGTGGATCCGCGTTCAGTGCCGCTGCTGACGTAAGACGCTGCTGACGTGTGTCTGGTGTGTGTGTGTGTGTGTGTGTGTGTATTCTGGTTCTGTTGTGGATCCGCGTTCAGTGCCGCCGCTGACGTAAGACGCTGCTGACGTGTGTCTGGTGTGTGTGTGTGTGTGTGTGTGTGTATTCTGGTTCTGTTGTGGATCCGCGTTCAGTGCCGCTGCTGACGTAAGACGCTGCTGACGTGTGTCTGGTGCGTCCGTGTATTCGGCTTCAAATAAATATGGCTGGGAAAAAAAATGCAAGTCTTCCTCTGTGTGGAAATCCTTAGACATGTTTGTGAAGATTGTTTTGTTTCCAGCGTGCGTCTCCCTCAGACTGTAAACGAAGCTCGGGCGCACCAGACACACGTCAGCAGCGGCACTGAACGCGGATCCACAACAGAACCAGAATACACACACACACACACACACCAGACACACGTCAGCAGCGTCTTACGTCAGCAGCGGCACTGAACGCGGATCCACAACAGAACCAGAATACACACACACACACACACACACACCAGACACACGTCAGCAGCGTCTTACGTCAGCAGCGGCACTGAACGCGGATCCACAACAGAACCAGAATACACACACACACACACACACACCAGACACACGTCAGCAGTGTCTTACGTCAGCGGCGGCACTGAACGCGGATCCACAACAGAACCAGAATTCACACACACACACACACACACACCAGACACACGTCAGCAGCGTCTTACGTCAGCAGCGGCACTGAACGCGGATCCATAACAGAACCAGAACACACACACACACACACACACACACACACCAGACACACGTCAGCAGCGTCTTACGTCAGCGGCGGCACTGAACGCGGATCCACAACAGAACTAGAACACACACACACACACACACACACCAGACACACGTCAGCAGCGTCTTACGTCAGCGGCGGCACTGAACACGGATCCACAACAGAACTAGAACACACACACACACACACACACCAGACACACGTCAGCAGCGTCTTACGTCAGCGGCGGCACTGAACGAGGATCCACAACAGAACTAGAACACACACACACACACACACACACACACACCAGACACACGTCAGCAGCGTCTTACGTCAGCGGCGGCACTGAACACGGATCCACAACAGAACCAGAATACACACACACACACACACACACCAGACACACGTCAGCAGCGTCTTACGTCAGCGGCGGCACTGAACACGGATCCACAACAGAACTAGAACACACACACACACACACACACCAGACACACGTCAGCAGCGTCTTACGTCAGCGGCGGCACTGAACGAGGATCCACAACAGAACTAGAACACACACACACACACACACACACACCAGACACACGTCAGCAGCGTCTTACGTCAGCGGCGGCACTGAACACGGATCCACAACAGAACCAGAATACACACACACACACACACACACCAGACACACGTCAGCAGCGTCTTACGTCAGCAGCGGCACTGAACGTGGATCCACAACAGAACCGGAACACAATACAATGCTGAATAAAGTCCTAGTTTTTGTTATTTTTGGACCAAAATGTATTTTCGATGCTTCAAAACATTCTAACTAACCCACTGATGTCACATGGACTACTTTGATGATGTCTTTATTTCCTTTCTGGACAAGGACAGTATACCGTACATACATTTACAATGGAGGGACAGAAAGCTCTCGGACTAAATCTAAAATATCTTAAACTGTGTTCCGAAGATGAACGGAGGTCTTACGGGCTTGGGACGACATGAGAGTGAGTCATTAATGACAGAATTTTCATTTTTGGGTGAACTAACCCTTTAAATGTTCTGAATGGGATTCAACTGAAGCCTTACTGACAACATGCTACAGATTTCAGCTTGTAAAACATGCTGACAGTGGAAGTCTATGGAGAAACACACCTCACTGCATCCATTAAACATGAGTGGATTTCTCTCAACACACTTTTTCTGTTTGCTTTTGAAAAGTGAGGTATAAGAAATGATTTTCTGTGGTAAGAAAATAGCAGAAACTCATCCAACTAGCCAAGTCATACTCTCGTTTGTGGTTTAGGAGGTAATAATACAGGGATCTAGATCAGATGTAAATCAATCTACAGCTGTAAATAACGTGACAATGTCAGAATGAAGTTGATCATATTCTGTCCATGAGGTAGAAATTTAACCAACCATTCAAAATATTTGGGGTTTGTAAGATTTTTTTTAAAAAGAAATTTTAAAATAATTCCAGCAAGAATGCATTCAATTTATCAATAGTGATATTAAAGACATTTGTGATGTTAGAAAGGGTTTCAAATTTCAAATAAATGCTGTTTTTTTAACGTTCAATTCTTCACAGAATCCTAAAATAAAATTTGAAGCGGCAAATATAAATGTTTTCAACATTGATAATAATCAGAAATGTTTCTTGAGCAGCAAATCATCATATTAGAATGATTTCTGAAGGATCATATGAGTAATGATGCTGAAAATTCAGCTTTGATCACAGGAATAAATTACATTTTAACATATATTTAAACAGTTATTTGATATTCTGATAATATTTCACAATATTACTGTTTTATTTGATCAAATCAATGCAGTTTTGGTGAGCAGAAGAAAAAACAGACCCTGAATTTGTTTCTAAACTAAAATATGAACATGCAACCACTGCTTAAAAACTAAAAACAGATGAAGACACCAAGGCACATATTAACATGTCGTCCGTATCTGTTTTTGACATTGTTTTTCAGTTCCTGCTCTGGTAAACATTGGCATAAAATAACCTCTGAGGATTTGTTTCGTGTCAAGACAAGAGAACGCAAGGCGTCTTGACAGTTTCAGGCTCTTGTTTCAGACTGTGGTTTGGTGTTTGCTGCCATCTTCAATTTAATGTGTCCCTGGTTTGGAAGTCTGGTGTTTTTCTTCAGAACTAAACGTTTCTACTGTTGATAAGAAGCTATATTGCAGTCACAGTTGTGACCTAAATTAAACAATTCTTAGTTTGTGGGTCTGTTTTTGTCTCACCAGGTTAAGTAATGTTATAGAAGCATCTTTTAAAATGATATTTTGTTAAGACGACGTCACAAATAATGATTACAAATAATGCAACATAACCAATGTATGAGACACTTGGATCATATTCACCCCTAGTCAAAGTCAGGCCGGGAGAGCTGGTTCTTACATTTAACCGCTCAAAAGCCTGGCTTTGATTCTCCTGGATGAATGAAGAGCAGCTGTTTTCTATCAGGCACGTCATTTGCTTGTTTGAAGCACTTGCTATCAGTTCTCGATGAAATCACACCTTTGTTTTCCTCGTCATTAAAGCCGCGAATGTCAATAATCAAGCTCGAACAGACAAAAAGAGGAACAATATGACTTGATAGACTTTCTGTGCTGCTTTAGTAATCATGATTACATTACATTTTGAAGATGTTTTCAATGTGCCATCTGGTCTTTACTCAAAAACAGTGTGAAAAGAGAAATGTCATGTTCTTGGCATTATATTTTTGAGCACTTCTATATGTGAAAGATGGCATGATGTTATATATAATGCAAAGTTATTCGCATTAGAGGAATGTGCTCTGTGCCCATGCTAAAGCTTCACAGAATGTAGGTGTAAAAGTCTTTAAGGCTTTTAGATCAGCTCAGTTTAATCTTTATGCCTTTGATTGCGGTTATTACTTCTCAGATAATGCGAGTGTGTTGTATGAGGCCTTTATGCACTTGGAAAAATGTTCAGTCATAAATGACAGGAAAAGTAAATCACGAATAGGCCTGCATGGAATATGCATAACAAGTAATGTAAATAAATTCTAATAAAATATACATTATGTAAAATATGTTACGGTGTGAAATTAATACATACGTTTTTTTTTTTTTTGCTGTTTAAGTGTCTCATTCTCACAAAGGCTGTGTTTTTATGATCAAAAATACAGTAAAAACACTAATATTGTGAAAAATTATTACAAGTTAAAATAGCTGTTTTCTAAGTGAATATATTGTAAAATGTAATTTATTCCTGTGATCAAAGCTGAATTTTCAGCATCATTACTCCAGTCTTCAGTGTCACATGATCCTTCAGAAATCACTCTAATATGATGATTTGCTGCTCAAGAAACATTTCGGATTATTATCAATGATGAAAACTATAGTAAAATGTAGTATAGCATGATTTCTCATACTGAATATACTCTTCTAACATATATCCTCTGC